TCTTACATTAACCTAAACGTCAAAAAAAAAGTTTTACATATGAATTTCCATTTCATCTTCGTAAAAAGAGTATTTCATGTATAAATTTCCATTTGATCTTCGACCTTCTAGACGAATTTCATTGCAAAAGTGTCCACAGATTTATAAGGAAATAGTTTCCTAAAATACTAAAATAATACAATTTAAATTCTTCAACACAAAACTAGATATTTAGAACGGTTGCTATTATCAAAATCTCCATAGCTCACAACACTTGCTCCTGATGTGTCCAAAAACCTTTTTTTTCTTTAAAATTCTCTTCAATTTTCTAGTCATTGAAGGGAGTTGATTATTTAAAGATCGACTTTGTTTTAAATAAAGAGTAAATTTGTTTCCATAGTTTGTAAGTTTGACTCTTAATTGATTATGTCAATAATAAATACGATTGTATACGTGTGCAAAATATTTTTTATATGCAGTTATATAGAAAGTCAACTCATTATATTAAATACTAAAAATATATTAAGTATTTCTATTTACAAAATAATGAGGAGATAAATTAATTTTACCATTTCATATGCATTTATGATTTAAAAATTATAAGGTATTGTGGTAATGGAATAAAAGTTAAGGCTGTAACAACCCTGGAAATGAGAACAAACTTTTCTGTTTGGCCCTTATCGCATTTGATTACTAAAAGTAGGTCAGAACAGATTGAGCTCTACAAAAACCATTAATCAAATAATCATATTTCCATTGAAACAAGAAAAGAAATTCCAAACTTGTCAAATTTAGCCAAAAATTCACCAAAATTTTCGAAATTGTGAGCAATTCAAAACCCTTCCCTATTCTTCTTGATCAACGATTCCAAACACCAAATTATTTGAGTTAAAAATGAACAGTTGAAAGTTTTAATCAGAGGAATGCTTCTATAATTTACAGTGAGTAATAACATGCTTTACATCATACAATAGCATAATCAAATCCTGTTTCTGACGCTAACTGCAATGAAGTCCAAAGAAAGAAAACACAAGTCGAAGCACTTGTTCAGCATCTCTGGCTTCTTGCATCCAATATACTGCTAAATTTAAAAATCCAAAAGCCAACCAAAAACCATGACAGTTCAAGGAAGTTTAAGAAGTACAAGGTGTAGTAGTATAACTCCAACTATAGACACTATAAAGTGTAAAAACCAAGCCTATAAAAAGAGTTCCAAAGTTTGGTGAAGAAGTAAAAGAAAATAGACAGAAGCAGTGCTGCAAATGTAAATCAAAGTTCATCTTCCATCAGAGGAATTAAAAGAATTAGCAAATCCAAATGGCCTTGTTGGTATGCTAGATTGTGTATTTTCTTCACTGGTAAGCATTGATGAAGAAGTATCAAAGGTGTTCCTTCCTTCAACAGCCTGCCATTTTCTGAGTGCTTGAGGCAAGGTCATGTCTAAGTCAATTCCATAAATGTCTTCATCATCTGTCTCAGAAGGCTTCCAAATCTCAACAAGCGGTGCCAAGACATTCACCACATGGCTCATGTCTGGACGCTGGTAAGGCTCTCTTGCACAACAGTGGCCAGCCAACTCAGCCACAGTCCTACAGCTGGGTAGGGCCTCCTCATCAATACACATTATGGGGTCAATAATCTTTTCAAAAGAGTCTTTGTTCAGTAGCATCCTCCTGAACCATGTAACAAGGTGGACATTCTCTTCTGGTTGGCTGTTGTCAATTGCTTTTCTTCCTGTTATCATCTCCATCAGAATCACTCCATAGCTGTAAACATCAACCTTTGTTGTAACTCGTCCAGTGACTGCCAGTAATACCATTTTAGTTAGCAAGGAATTGCACAAAAAGGAGGAAAAACTACCTCTGCTATAATGTCATGAACTGCAGATTCTAATGATCATTGGACAAAAAAGTCACAATGTAATTGGCCTATGTAATATGAAGCAATAATGTACACATTTGCAGATCAAGCATGGCACAGACATTGTAATTTATAAAGGGAAAAAATGTTCTGAAGAACATGTACTTTTTGTCATACTTATACTTTCAAGTGGCAGTTTTAAAAAGTAAGTGAATTTAGTCTTTTCTGATACTAAAATTTACTATCTAGTAACGTTCTTAATAACCAGAGTTGGAAAAAGAACCAAATTCATATGTTTTTCTATAGTTTAAGGAATAATTCACTAATTTGAAAGAACAGTAACCTATACAAGGATTAAAAGTACATATATAAATCATGTTCCCTTTCTATATGCACCAGTATCACATTCTAATGATCATTGTTGAAGAAAAAAACCACAATGTAATGACGTAGTGATTTGTTTTAATACATAATATGAAGCAACCATGGTACATAGTTCTAGATAACTATAAACTAAATGTCAAAGATGAAAGTAGAGGCAACACCATAAGGGATGCAAATTGACTGTATAGGCTTGCAAATCAAATCAAACAAAAATATTTCAATGGCTTCTAAGAGGCACACAGAAAAGAAAAAACTAAGAATTTTAAGTCTGTTTGTTATCTAAACACTAACATTTAATAAACAATCTGTCATTGTTGTTTTCTCAATACAGTTGTTTCCAGGACAAAATTTGAGAAAAAAAAGTTATTCGGGTTAGAGTTTTGCAACCAATATTTTTCTCCTTAGCTTATTCATTATCTCCAGGGATTCATATGAGAGACACCAAAGTAGAAACCTATAGCACCGATAAGTGCCTACATGTTGCAGATTCATCATGCATTCTATCTACCGTGTGCATTCTACCTAAATAGCCTGCTTAAATTATATGTCAATGCAGGATAAGAAAATTTCACATATCAAATGCAGAACTAATAGTGCATTCCTGAACTTTTTCAAATGTATTAACTGTATGCAACACAGTTTTCAAAAGCAATTTTAATTTGTACCTGCATACTCTGGAGCCAAATATCCAAAAGTTCCAGCAAGCCTGGTTTCAAATGAGGTCTGTCCTTCTGGAGCCAGCCGAACCAATCCAAAGTCTGAGACTTTGGCCCGCATATCATCCCCAAGCAAGATGTTTGATGGTTTTAGATCCCTATGGATAAAAATTTGCTGGGCCAAACCGTGAAGATATTCAACACCTCTGGCAACATCCAAGGCAATGGAAAGCCTTCTCTTCCATTCCAATGGTTGTATTCCTTGCTCTTTCCAGTCAAATAGATGCTTACTGAGAGGACCCTGAGGCATGTATTCATACACAAGAAGCTTCTCATTTCCATCCAAGCAGTGGCCTTCCAATGCAACCAGATGTCTGTGTCGAACCTTAGTCAGTACTGCAATTTCAGACTCAAACTCAGTGAGCCCCTTCTCAACCATCATTCCACATTCCATCCTTTTCACTGCAATTTTTGTTCCATCGTACAATTCCCCTTTGTATACAGTGCCAAAACCACCTTTCCCCAATATGTTTGCCTCACTGAAATTGTTCGTAACTTGTCTCAAAACTTGGATTGAAATAACCATATTCCCAGCTTCCACATGTTGAGCAGTACTAGCTGGACTAAGTACACCAATTCCTCCTACACCACTACCACCAACACTAACACCAGCACTAGCATCTGCAACACTTATCTTTAGATTATTTCCATCCCCAGAATAACGAGGATGTACCACTATTGCACTAGGACCTTGAACTTTGCCTGCTTGCTTACGTTTTCTACCATACATAAGAAATATCAAAGCCCCCAAACCAATTAAACTGATACCTCCCAACACAGTGCCAATAATTGCTCCAGTATTATTTTTCTTAACCTGACCACCAGATTTACCCTCAGGATTTGAGCCAGGCGGGCCTTGAGGCTTATCCTTTCCAATATCAGGATTCCCACCAGTTTTAACAACTACACCCTCACGAAAAGATGGCACCTTGCCGTGCAATTGATTATTCGAAACATCCAATTCTACCAGACCAGGCATGCTGGTGAGTTCACTTGGTATGGTACCAGTGAGGCCATTGTTGGGAAGAAGCAGCTTTGTCACAGATGTAAGCGAAGCAAAACTGGGAGAAATGTTGCCAGAGAGATTCATGCTCTGCAAGTTGATGACGGAAACGTTACCATTTGAGCAAACAATCCCCAACCAGTTTCGACCACAAGGGTCATTCCCCTTCCAACTTTCAGCCAGTCTCAGAGGGTATCCAAAAGGTTCAACAACAGAAAGTAAAGCATCCACTACAGGACTGCATGGCTTACCAGCCTCCACTGTGCAAAAACTATTGATCCCCTTGTCTAAATCATTATCAACCTTCACTCCATCTTTGAACAAGGGAGGAGAGCCTTGAAGTAAGTTATTGGTCAAATTCACCACTTTAAGAGCAGGGAGAGCGGTGAGAGAGGGTGGAACAACCCCAGTTAACTGGTTGTCCCTCAAGCTCACGTCATATAGCTGATCATGATTCGAGAAGTCCGGTATAGGACCTGTGAACGAGTTACCGTGCACCCAAATTTGTTTCAAATACGTCATGCTCTTTAACACATCAAGGGTACCATTGAGTTTACCATCACTTTTCTGACCATTCACCCAAAGTGTCTCCAAAGAACTCCCAGAAAAGGTTGCAGGCAATCCTCCTTCAAGAGAATTAAAACTCAAGATAAGAGAAACCAAACCTGGGAAGGGACCATCTTTACCAAAAAAATCTGGGATTTTCCCCACCAAACCGGCACTGGTTGCAGAGAAACTCCTGAGAGCCACACAGTCCTTGAGGCTATCAGGAATCCTCCACTGGGAAAAAGGGTTGTAGCCAATGCTGACATACTGCAAATTGGTCATGCCGGTGAAGAAATCACCCGGTAAGGACTGGAAATTGTTGTTGTGGATGAGCAGAACCTCAAGGGACTTTGGCATGTTAGGAAATGGCCCAGTGAAGTCATTGCTCATGCACTCAAATCGTGTCAACTCTGAGAGCTGCGCCAGTTCCTTAGGCAGAGAACCTTGCAAACTCTGTCCCCCAATTTGAATTGCAGTAACCCTCTTCATGGCGCTGCACTTAACATGTTTCCAGTTACACACATCTGGGTCATTCCATTGCAGACCACTGGGTTCATTGATGGCCTTCTTCAATTTGTTCATCACAGCATCATCTTGACACCACGCACACTCAAACCCCACACAGAACAACAACAACACAGCAAGCCACGAAACAAAACCCATAAGGTCACGATGCGGTTTCCTCACAATTACCGAAATTGCAGACAAAAACGCTCTCGACGACTCCAAAAATCTGAATGTTACCGCGGTTGTGATAACTCCAAAAACGTTGATCCTGCACCCACCCAGAATCACGTTCTTGGACAGCTTTCCAAAACCTTACACACTCTGAGAGAAAGCGCAAGAGGGTGGCGAAAGAAGAAGAAAAATTTTGTTTTTTTGTCTGTGTTGTGTTTGTGATCAGTCAGTCACACAGCATTGTGCACTCGATAAGGATTCCCCAGAAGGAAAGAAAGGGAATTTTGTTTCGGAATGTGATAAAAAGATCGAAAGAAAGATTCGGGAATTGGAATATAAATGAAGGGGCGAAGAAAGAGCGAATAAGAAGAAAGCAGAGAAGGAGTTTGGGTTTGGGTTTGAGGTGTGTCACACACAACAGAACATGCCATGAACATGAACACGAACGATCGAACATGCGTATGGGACCCACTTTCCTCGAATCGGTGTTTTTCTAGGTAACGCCTTCACGTTGGGTCGTAGTAAATAGTTAAGGATGAGTTAAGTAGAGCGTGTTTTTTTGGTGGGTTGGTGCTTCGTGAGTTGGAATTTTAATTACGGTTTTTAATTTTAATCCCATTTGTCCAACAAACATATGCTAGAGCCACCAACTTTTCTTTCTTTCTTTCCATTACCCTTTCCGATATTCTTTATTCTATTGTTACAATTTTAACTTTCTATAAACAATTTTACGTTAATCTTTCTTTTTTCCTCATTTATCTTCAAATTAATGCATTTATTAAAGGAAACAATTTCAAAAATCTTTCATGTTTATTGTTATTCTTGTTTTATCTCAATGAAGTTGCGAAACGGAGAGAAAAAACTAATGTTTTGTTCATTACATTAATAACCGTCATTTTAGTTTATCAAACAAATTTATATTGATTTGTGTTTTCAGTTTTTAAATAAAATTTTATATTCTTTTACGATGGTTTATCAATATAATCTTTCTCTTTTAATCAAAATTACTTTTATTAACTAATACAAAGAAAATCAATCCGAGAGTGTATTTTTTTTTCTATTTGGAAAATTTTAAATGGCTCTTATTAAAGGAAAAGGACGGTTAAAGTTACGGGATTCGTTGGATCTCTTGAGTGATGTGTATTCAATACAAGATTAAGAAAATATGAGAAGATATTTGTTTGCAGTATTTTTATTATTTTGGAAATTATTATTGTGGTCTTAATTATAGTCAAATTGCAGTGGAATTTTTTTCAAGTAAATCAGCTTGGATTTGTATTTAGTGATCATATTTCAACGTTAATTTTAAATTGTAATGCATAAGATAATAAAAAAAGTTATGATTAATATCACTATAAGCATGTGCCTGATGGAATATAAATAATTTAAAATTCACTTTAATGAAAAAAAAAATCTTAGATGTACATGTTTAGTTTTCTTAAAAAAAAATTTATTAAGTTATAATTAATATATATAAATATATATAGGTTGAGAGAGAAAAAAAGATATTTATAACCCCGATAAGCTAACTTTGACTAGTTAAACTGCTTTCAACGTACGAAAATATATTTTTAAGATATTTCAAAGTAATTTATTGTAAGAAATTTAAAATTATTAACTACAAGTTATTCATCAATTCAGTAATAACTACACTTTTTTTTCCTTCTTTCTTCTTCAGTTCTTATTTTGCTTCTGTCTTCGATGCTATAGAAATTAGAATTTGAATTGTTAAAAATGGCATGCTCAAGTTTTGATCCAGTCTACGAATAAAGGAAGAACAAGTATGGGTGAAACTCTCTTTCATTTCCTTAAGAGGGCTTGTTACAAGGAAAATTCATTTTCCTATGTTTAGTTTATGTTTTAAAAAAATAACATTTCAAGGAAACTATGCTTTCCTGTATTTTTAGTTAAGTTTTTAACAAAAATTATTCGTCCAGATATGAAAATCTAACTTTTTTAAATTCAAATTTTAATACAATATAAATAAATAAATAAGTATATATATATATATATATATATATATATATATATATATATATAATTAACATATAATAGTATAATATAGGTTAAAATACTATTTTTTTGTCATAATTTTTTGTTGGTTTTATTCCGTTTCCCTCATAATTTTTTTAATTAAGTCGTTTTTTATTAAATTGAATCAATTAGGTTCTCATTGTTAATGACATTACTTGAAATATATGAGAATTTTTTTTTAAGGGGTAATACAATATGGTGGGGAGTTTATAAATAATAATGGTGGAAATAAGTACATGGTTGTGTGACGAGATACCTGGAACTATTTTGAGGTATTAGACATACTTAAGGATACGGTTGAAGGAGTTGTAATATTCTATTGAAAGGAGTTTTCTGTTGGAAGAAAGGTTGCAGTTGTTGTTTGGCGACAAGTTCAATTCGTATGATGAGCATTACCAAGCAAAATGGTAAAGTTCACTTGTTTATGGTACAACAGTTTACAAACCTCAACCGGTAGATAACTTGTTGGGATAATTTCATGATGAGGGGTGATGAACTTGTACATAGTGAGCATAATACTAATTTGGCAATGGGAATGAGGAATGAGGTTGACAATGAAGGTGAGGTAAAGGTTGAGACTGAGGGGTTGGGAATGAGGTGGATGCTAAGGCTAAGACGAGGATGAGCGTGACTATTTGGACGAGGATGAGATGAATGTTGAAAATATTGAAGGATTAGTTAATGTCAATGTTTATGGAAGGGTAATGTGGAAGTTGAAGTTATAATTATTAAAGAAGACATTAGTGGACCATTTGAGTTTTCTACTCAAAAGAAAAAAAAAAGGTAGCATGGCAGAGGAGACAATGATGAAGAAGACTATGAATTACATGATGATGAGAATGGAGGATTGATGGATGATGAAAATGTCTAACCTAACAAAAATAATATAAGATTATCTGATAATGAGTAAGAATTAAAAGATTTGGATAGTGGTGGAGAGAGTGAGACAAAAATGACTCCATCTTCAAGCTTGCTTATAAATTAAGGAAGAAAAGATGGATTAGGGGAGAGCCTATCCTAAGGTGAAGCACAAAAAGTATTTATAGAAAAATTCGTAAAGTTTCACTAATCTTTCATAAGTGCCTTTACAAAGGGTGGGAGAGGGAGTAGGCAGGGGCGGGGCGGGTGCTCCTTTATTTATAGGAGCAAAAGAGAGCAAGGCTTCTCCATAGGGAAATTCAAAATTTGGAGCCAAGAGAGAACATGTTCTTAATGTGACTTGCATGTGGCAGTGACATGCTTGTAAACAAACTTAAAAGACTTAGGAAATAATATTAAATGTGATGGAATAAGATGATTAAAACCATAAACAACCTCAAAAGGAGAGATTCCAATATCCATATGAACCACCCTGCTATAAGGAAACTCAATATGGGGAAGGTAATCATCCCAAGATTTTTATTACCCTTCAATATTGCCCTTAACATAGTTGCATTCGGCAAGACTCTCATTAACGCATTAAATAGGAAAACCATTTAGTGGTGCTTTTGTTCATGTATTGGTGTGTTTACTAAAGCTTTTCTCAAGGTATTTAGATTTTACAAAGCTTTTTCATAAATCACTTATATTTAAGCTTTATTGCTTTTCTAATGATAACACCTTGTCATATGCTCATTTCATTTATTGTTGTTTGTTAATTCAAAACATATTAGGACGTTTAGACAGTTCAATCTTATAGACGATATTGTCTTAATAACATTGAGCGGGACTGATGTGGCGGTGAGCGTTGGCTTGGTAATTTAGGTCTAGAAGCATTTAAGCTTTAGGCCACTAAGCGCCCTTTTTTTCACTAAGTGATAATCTTTGCGAATGGTTTGGCGTTGAGTGGTGGTAGGACATTACTGAGTGGCAAATTCCCATTACAAGTCTAGAACCAATTTAAGTCTTTCTTGCAGAGCGAGTCTTTTTGCGAGAAGAATGACATTAAACACCATCCTTATAGTTGAGCTTCATCAAATTTCGTGATTCTTGGTTGATTTCTTTGATGTTTTGACATTAATTTGTATTATTTTGATGTTTTGAGGATTATAATGATTTGTAGATGTGTATATGATATTTTAATATGTGGACGAGTGGTTTGATTATTCATAAAATTTCAAGGAGAAATTATAAGTCTTGATAGTTGTTATGGTATGGTTTGACATATGAAAATTTTGAATGTGGGTATTATAATATTCTACTAGTTATTCAACTTATATGGAGATGAATAGAGTGATTTTTATGTTTTATTTTTTTTATTTATCTAATATTTGCGATAGATGTTTTATGGTGGAATTTTGAGTATATAAAATATCGTTATAGTTATGACTCATGCTAAGTGTATTTATTATTGTATGTTTTCTATTTATTATGTAATTTCATAATTTATGTTTAATAATTTAAATTATTAAATATGATTGTTACATTTTTGTGTTTCCTATAAAAACATTTAAAATCAGAAAGAAATTACAAAATTTAATTTTCTTACAATTAAAATTTAAAAACAGAACAAAAATACAAATAAACGACCCGTTAATTTCTCTAAATTAATTGACTTAATTCTAGTCATTAGCCACTATCAAACTTCTCCAGCCACAATCCCGCCGGAAACGCGGCTTCTGGTTTCCAAATTGGAAATTAAATCACTAAAATTTGCTTTTGGGTGTTGATACGTAAATTTTAGAATTTAAATAAATGGCTTCTTTTTATATTGATTTTCTTCATGTCAACGATGCAACACAAGTTTGTACCATTTTTTTAGAAATTAAATATATATATATATATATATATATATATATATATATATATATATATCTTTAAT